TTTCTACTCTCCTTTCCTATTTCTCACACCTTTAATATGATGTCACCCAAAATCCAAACTTAACTGAACTAAGCATCCCCTTTAAGTCCTAGTGTATGACTAGACAAAATTACAAGCAAGTAATCAACACAATTTCCTGTCTATGTAATATTTTTACAATAAAGGGTGTAACTAATAACTCTTTTAATTTAACTCGAACTAAGCATCATTTATAAAAATTATTTTATTATTAAGTAAGACTATAATGCTTATAATGGATTTCCAAACCATTTTCATGTTTACACTGTAGTATCGCAATAGAGTATGCGAATATTATTATATCCAACTAACTGGATCTAAATATTTTTTATGTCTTAGTTTTAAACTTAGACAAGATTACAGTCCTTGTAATCAATTGTCAATACTAATTCGGTTTAGACAACACTATCCTAATTTAGTGTACAATTTTAACGCAGAGTATCAGGTATTTTTATATACAATAATCTTTTAAGTAATAATACCTATTTTTAACATTATCATCTAATAACATCGTATTAAAATCATGTTCTTAAAAGTAACTATGCACTCACCTGATATAGGTGGAAGACTCATGGAAAAGTTAGATCTTTGATTGACACTTCATATTCCATTTTTAAAACGACCTAAACATGAATATTACTATGTCTTAGTATTTCTTCGTATTTATAAAGTTAAACTGTTATAATGTTTTTTTTTTATCATATTTATCAATAATCCCAAAAGAGCACTAACGTATAGCTGATAAGAAACAACCTGGTAAGATCGTATCAGTGGTAGGATCTGTTTGGCATATAACAATATATTGTTTGAAAAATTCATTTTAAACACCTTACTGATCTTGCATTGACATCATTCCCGTAAGTAGATCGGTGAGTATAACGACTGGTATTACTGATAAATCTTATGTATAAGTTCATATTAACGTTTACGAAGTAAAACAATAACTCAATTTACATGTTGTTTGACGAAAAACCGAACATTACGCGGGCAAAACTTTGAAACCGAAAGCTCTATTTCTCGGGGCTCTCTGGTGCTCCAAAGCTTCACGAACATAGAAAATATTCCAAATTTTTTTTTGGATTTTCTTATACTCTAAATTGATCATCGGATTCTCTCTATCTCTCAATAACACAAAACAACAAGGTACTTTCTTTGTTTCAGATTTAGAAGTTGCCTAACTTTTAAACTGTCAGTTTTGGATTATCTCAAATCTGATTTCGTGATACCTCGTGCTATAGGGTCGAAATCACAGATTTTGAAAAGTGGTTATAATCACGATCCTAGAAGTATTTAAGTATATTTTAATATTCTTAGACCCAAAATCTAACATATTTTTATTTGACAATCCTTCAATATAATTTTATTTCAAAATGTTCTCTTAAAAACACCTAAACTATACTTTATTAAAGATGAAATGATGAAATATCTTATATACTTTAGGCTTTATTTCGAGCTAGTCTTTTTATTTGACAATATAAGTTGACAATCTTTCAATGCACTTCCGCCTCAAGTAGGGAATGAATTGGATTCCTGTATGTTTAAGAATACTGGATTAAGTTTCGGTTATTTTATACACATCCTGTTTAAGCCACTGTCAACTGCATTGTTGATCCGATAGTACATTTGTTGAATAGATATCATCCAAGAAGTGATTTTGTTATGGTTGGATCGTATTTATGTATATATATTTTTTTATTATTTCTATCATTAGACTTTACACTGTAGAGAAATACGGAGTAACAAATAAAAGATAACGAATTTTGGCACATTAGTCGACCAAAAACGTTGCAATACAGCTTTTCTATGGTTGTATCTTTCTATCACATTTTGTCATTGTCGATTTCAATTATGTGCCCCCTTGAGTGGTCTCGCTCTAAATAAGGTTAAAAATGTAGTCACGTGATTTGCGTGTGGTCCTATCCAATCTTTGCTTAGTTGTTTTGCTTTGGTGGGACAAACGAATCTACTATTATTATCTACTTCCATAACCTTAAAAACAATTGTAAATCGTAACAAAACTTAATCATGACCCTATAATCCATTTCTTTTATATATATATATATATATATATATATATTATATATATATATATATATATGGAAAAGTTCAACAGAGAACCATAATTATTGGTTCTTCAAGGAACCAAATCTTTTTTTCAATTTCTAGAGCTTATTCTTTATCGAAAAAAAAATCTAAAAATATCTAAATTCATATATTAACATTGTGAATGTGAAAAATATTTTTCGGATTCACCGTGTGAATCTGGATTCACGTTGTGAATTTTCAAAGATTCACATTGTGAATTTGACGTAAAAAAAAATCGAATTTAATATCATTGGAAAAAGGATAAAAAGTTATGAATTTCTGTATTTTTAGTTTTTTTTTATAAAAAATAAGTTGTAAAAGTTGAAAAAAAGATTGGTTCATTGGTTCCTTGGTTAATTATGGTTCTCTATTGAACATCACCCAATATATATATATATATATATATATATATATATATATATATATATATATATATATAATATATATATATATATATATATATATATATATATATATATATATATACACACACCAAAAGGAAAGCTCACATTTTTTTAGTTTGTAGGTGATGTCACAATTCACGTCTGAATCTTTCATAATAAGATAAAACAAGAAAATAGTCTTTAGGTTTAGTGCTTTACAATTTTGGCCAAACGATATCAAGTTAAAACATATGACCAACAATACATGTGATGCAAATATGCAATCATTGGTACGATACAATGTAACATTTTTTGCCACATGAAGCCATAAATTCATTTTTCCTTTAATGTACTATCAATGGGACTTTACAAAATTAAGTACATAGAAACACATCATCAAACTCTCAATTCATACCAATGGTTCTCTTGCAATGGACCACCGCCTCATGAATCGAGCTCTCAGAGTCGCAAGATCTTCGACGGTTATCTGCCCAACACGCACCGCTTGTCCTGGGACCAGGACCGGGACCGTAAGCAGACGAACATTCCCAGTTCTCGACTCCTTGTACCCTACTGCTATCTGACCTCCCCCGTCTCAGTCTACACCAAATCGGTTGAACCAAATCCATGTATTTTTGTATGATTCTTTTTGGGAGTCGGTTACACCTACGTAGCATCATAGAACGGCTTTTACGAAGACGATTATTGTCTTGAATGGTGGGATAGAGAGGTGAATTGGGAACCGAGCCAGACGGGCCATGTGATTTCATGGGAAGCAAGGTCCCGTTTGAAATGAGCTTATCGGCATGGACAAATGTTGAAGGTGCTTGCGATGTCGGAAAATCGAAACCAGAATCAGAATCGGGACGAACGAGGAATCTTTTGGAGGGGGTAAGGTTAGGATCCATTTCAATGAAGGAAGCCTCATCAAATGAGACTCTAAAGGAGCAATTCGGGCTAATGAGAGTTGAGATTGGGTTTGGGTTTGGGTTTGGGTTTGAATTTGATAACCAAGTTGGTTGTGAAGCTTCCATGGATTGTGAATGGAAATGATTCAAATTTGAAAGAATAATAGTGCATATGTTTATTGGGCGTCTTGAACTTATATATATTTATAACAAGAAGAAGGACACAATTATGAAGTGGTCCTTGCTACCATGAAATAAGAGGAATGTAAACGACAAATGTTAACCCTACACATGATGTAATGTCGCATGTTATGTTTTTAGTATTGGAAAAGAGGAGGCATTGGTCCCCTTACCTTGCCTATTTTTATTTCAAACACTTGTAGAAGAAAATAACATATATAGCCTCTAGGCTCTAGTGAGTAGTGGCATGTATCATAAACCAAACCATAGGGCATAGGTAGGTTAGGTGGCAGGAGGAATTGAATTCCCATTGCAAATTGCATCAAACGACTTGTATAACAAACAAACTATAAAAAATCAAAATATGTTTAGATCGTAAATCTGAAACTCTAGTATATTCAAAGATATGTTGAGTTGAATCATTATTACTATTTCTTTGTAGTCTTTTCAACTTTATAGATAACATAGAAAGTTATATATATACAGCCATATTTAGATCGTAAATCTGAAACTCTAGTATATTCAAAGATATGTTAAGTTGAATCATTATTACTTTTTCTTTTTACTCTTTTCAACTTTATAGATAACATAGAAAGTTATATATATATATATATATATATATATATATATATATATATATATATATATATACAGCCTTTGACCGATTCTTTTGTGGCTATTTTCTGTTTTAGCCATTACATACAATCCAAATCCATTTACTTTTAGGAAAATGCGTAAAACTAAGATTTACTTGTAGTGAAAATGATTTATAGTTTTGGGGATGTTCTAAGTTGTAACATTTACTAACAAGCTTGTTTTAGTAAAACTTTATGAAACGAATGATTTGAATCGAGCATTATTTATTTATAATAGATAGATAGATATTTAAAGGCAACGGAGGTCCAACAATCATAATTCATAAATTTTATTTCTCGTTACAACTCACAACTCACAATTCACATCATATAATGATTGAGGCTATGAGCCTATCTATGTAACTTTTAAACGACCAAACCAAGTAGAACGTAGTTATCTATTGAATGCCTACCTAGACAATAGACCTATCGCGGGGCATGTGATCGATTACACATTCTACACCACAATAACCCGGACCCCACATATGAAGAAATCTTTAATTCTAGAAAATAATACTGGTGTTATTTACATTAAATTATATATTCTCAACCAACCCTAAAGAAACAAAAACAACCGACATTGGTCCCCTCAGCTGTCGGGGAAAGAAACTGACATCAAGTATGGGAGGAATGGCGGTAAACAGAAGCAGAAAATGACTCAAACACCAAGCCAAAACCAGATTCATGTTCCAGACAAATACATTCATCTTCTTTCCATAATGTATGTGCAATTGAATTATTAAACCAAATATTGTTGTATTTGTACAATTAATAGTAATAGTAATAATAATGGGGTGGGTGTCACTTCATAAGATCTATGAATACAAAGGCATTCCAAAGGCTATGTAAGAGCATAGAAGGCAACAAGTTTCTAGATCGTGCAAAAACAGCACCCATAACAATCCCAAGAAACACAAGTGGCAACATTCGGTGCATGTTAAAATGGGCGAATGCAAAAGCTAAAGAAGTCACAATTACGGAGCACCAAACAGGCATATACCTTGTTAAAGAAGGCAAAAGAAACCCTCTAAACAGAACCTCCTCCCAAACGGGCGCACACACCGACACCACAACCGCATAAACCGCCATCGCGACCGGGTCCCGCGCAAGGATCGACCGTTCCACGTTTGAGACGGTGACAGGGGCAGGGGGGAGCATTGGGAAGAGATTGAGGTTGACTTGTGAGAGACGGTTGACTAAAGGGAACATAAGGCAGCCTAAGGCCACATCCAGCTGCCAGTTGCCTTTGAAGCTGAATCTGAACCAATCGGGTGAAAGAGGGCGGAATGGGGCAAGGCAGGAATGAAGGATTCCGATTCCGGCGATGCCTTCGGCTACATCAGTTAAGAGGCTGTAGAATGCTTGGCCTCTGAAAGTCAATGTGTCTTTTCTGAAACCGGATGTATGAGCCAAAAATGGAATAATCCATGAGCCTACAAACCAGAAAGAGGCCATCCAGAGGAGCATTACTTGAACAATGGTCTTGCCTGTCCATGGCACTGTCCATGCTTCTGCTTCTGCTTCTGCCCTAAATATCTGAAAACAACATGCATTGTAATGTAATTAATGTTTCCTTTTCTCTTGATTATTGTGAAAGGGATATTTGATGTTAAATAATTACCTGTCTAAGGTTTGAAAGCCAACCATGGTTCACATTTGGTTGATTTGATTCCGGTTCTGGTTCCATTGGCAAAGTATCTTCTTCAGTCTTAGGAATGTTATGATTCAAAGAAGAGTTGTCATTTTTAAAGCATAAAAACCTCCAGTTCTACACGATAACATTATAAATTATCAGTTTAAAGAAAAAAAATTCAAAACTTGTTGCTCATTGGTTGCTTTATACAAGGAGATGCGTTTGTAGCGATAATTCTGGGATTGTTTTGAAGAAAATGTTTGGTGTACTACTATAACACCCGGATTCAAGGGTTAGATATTTTTACCTTATTAATTTAATTTTCATTTTTTATCAAATGATTAGTTGGTAAATATCGGGTGTATAGGTGCTACATGAGAATGAAGATGTTGGAGGTTTCCAATAAAGGAAATTAAGGTATGTAGCTTTTACCTGTTGTCATTTCAATAGACTTTGGAGCATAATTTCGAATTTGTGAGGTTATAAGGGCCTAAGGGGTAAAAAGTATAAATTAGAAACCCGTAATGCGAGAAATAGGCCCAGCTTGGGTGGATCCAGACAAATTCCAAGTTTGGAGGGCCAAATGTGTAGAGAATGAAACTTAAACGAGAGACTAGACCCTTATAAGCATTCCTTCAAATTGCTTTTGAGAAAGAAAGAGGAGAGAAACCACAGAATCAGTGAAAGAGATCTGAACTTGAGCATTAGGGATTGAATTTGGTTGATATTCCTCATCAATTCCATCAAAGGAGGTCACTCATGGTAACAACCAATAGAAATGCACATTTAAGTATGTGAATGACAAGTAAATGTAATTCGGTCCTAGCACCTGGGGAATGACTTTTAATGATTTAGGATGATATAATGTGTTACAAACAATGTTCTAGAACATCTTTATCTCTTGAAGAGATATCTTCTTTAGTTTAAAGCATGATCATGTTTCATCTATTCGCATGAGTCATGGGTGGTTGACTAGTATGTTCTAGACACTTAGGTGACAATAGATATCCAAGGTGGATGGATGTGTGGATGATGAGATGACATTTTTAGAGCATCTCCCACCAGTTCGTTTAAACATGTGCTAAGTGACCATAAAAACTATGAAAAAGAGCAAGACATAAGGAGGAGATGAAAATGAGCATGACCCTGGAAGTAGGTTAGAGTTAGAGTTAGAGTTAAACTACATTTTAGTATCTTTGTTACCCCTAATAATCCCTAGTATGTTCTAAATTGAGTTTAATGGACTTGACCTTTATTAAAATTTTATTGAAGCTTACTGCTACAGAGGTTTCTTGTTATAATTATACTTGGGTTTGCATCTTATATCTGATTTTAAGAAGTCATTAAGTCAATGGTCGGTATGTTTCATGGAGCTAAGTTATTACGCAAATATGGGCAGGCATATTTGTCTCAGAAGAAATATGTTGAATAGACTATGAATACATTCAATATGACAGACAGGGTGTAAGCCTAGCTACTACAAATCGAGTCATGGTTTGGATTATATTTATGGTTCATTGAGAAAACCAATATATACACTACATCAATTCCGATCTGGATTTAATTAATAGATTAAAATTTGTGAGTTTCAACTTACATTTCTCAAACACCTTGAAGAAAAAGAAGAAGCTGAAAGGCGAGCGGCTCCAATAAGTGAACTATTGGTGTTATATAGTTTATACTTAGCTCTGGCTGTTGAAGGAAGCGATGGGCAAAGAGAAAGCGGTTGGCAGAAAGGTGATGTGGTGGACATGGTGATGTGGCTCCGCCGGAGATTGTTGCTGCTGATGCATCAGAGGCGGCATAAAACCCTAGCGAGGTCGTTCACACATGTTGAAGGGGTTGCGACGACAGGGGTGAACGATTAGTCTGGTTTTAGGTTAATGAAGGAGGAGATAGGTTGATGGCGGCGGGGGAGGAGAAGAAAGCTCCGACGAAGGTGAGAATGATGGAGCAAGGAAGAAGAAAAGGGTAACAAGACATCATGGTGTGGTACTGCTGGTGTTTGTTCGAATGTTCTAGAAACTCGCGACTCCTAAATGGCCAAAAACTGCAAACGTTATCTCATCAGCTCGTTTATCCGTGAATAAGAGGGAAAATACAGAGAAATTTGGTCAAACATTCGATTAAGGGGTTCACAAAAGCTGAAATCGAAATGAAACTTAAAATTTTGGGTTTAATTTGATTTTTAAAGAACAAAATTTTGAGTTGTACGTGGAAATATAAAGGACTGATGGTAGAAACATTTTTAAATAAGTTTTGGTAGGGATTAGCAAAAGCGAAACCGAAAACCAAAACCCATAAAAACCGATAAAAATGAAACCGAAATCGAACCCAACCCGTTAATTATGGTTTAGATGTTTCAAAACCTAAAATTTTGATTTGGGTTCAATTTTGGGTTTAAAACCGGCTCAGTAACACCGAACCGACCAACTGGGTTTAAAACCAACTCAAACCAAAGAAACCGACCCAATGCATATTATTAATTAATTGATTACTTAATATATTCTTAATAAATGTTATATGTTTTATCAAAACAATAAATATAGAAAAGTTCCAAAACCCCAACCCAATTGCTAACGTTCATCTCGTCTCATTCTCTCATACTTTCACAGACACGATCACAACTGCATTAGGAAGGCATGCACTATATCCCTAAGTCAATAAATCGCCTAGTCGATCTGTGACTAAGACGCAAACAAGATAAATGCTTTATTCTCTCGTTTATATGCTCTCGAGTCTCGACACAAGGAATAAGACGACGCACTGAATATGTTTAATTTTATTGAGAACTGTTGGAAGATGGGTTGAAACTTAAAACCCGTGAGTTTATACCCGAAAACCATCAACCCATGGGTTGAACCCGAAAATTGAATAAACCGACCCATAAAACCAAAAACGGAACCCAATGGGTTTCAAAACCCAAAAAACAAAATTATCTCTTCCTCCGTGTGCGCATCACAACCCTACTAACATTTTCAAATATCTTACATGTGCGCATCACAACCCTACTAACATTTTCAATTCTCTTCCTCGCATCACTTCTACTTGGTTTGTGATCGTGAGAAGGAGGAGTAGCTATCAATTAAGTAATATGAATACACTTAAAAAAATAACTAGAACATTTATAGGAAAGGAAATAATATGCAATCTAAAAATTACCTCTTCCTTCCTTTGATATGAAAGTACGAGAATCTCCAACATTAGCAACATACATATGATTGACTACTAAAATTGTTGTTGAGGTAGTAGAACTATCATCACAAGGCATAACCACCATCCAATAACATAAATAATACAAAACTTTTAGTTAATTAAGGAACCAAGAGTTTAGAAAGTGGTGGCATGCCAATTTTGATGCAGTAGCTTTATTTTATCTACTTTTTGTTGAAATAAACACATGTCAATTTTATCAGCTTTAGAGATACCTGGTTTAACCCATGTCAGCCTCAAAAAATATTGAAGCTGAAGGACATATTGGCTGCAATCACTTCCCATAAAGATTTTGACCTCCATAAATTTTGTTGACATTTCTTAACGGAAAAGGTTGTTTTACGCCTATCATTCCAAATGAATTTCTTCAATTTTTTCTGATTGCACAACAAGCTTTCAGGGGGTACAGTTGATGGTCAATAACTTCTTAATCCACCGACACCGCATAGACCCAAATCCCATAATCAACATGATTTACAATAAGTAATCCCATGTTAACGAATCATACGCTTTCTTAAAATCCACCTTAAGAAGCATCATAGGATTTCCGGAAGCCTTACTCTAAGCAGCCATTTCATTCAGGAGAAATGGGCTGTCACACCCCCAAACCAAGGATGGCGGAAACGTCCGGGGGTGGAGGACTTCATGTATAGTATCACAACAACGAGTATAATAGTGCTCAAAGTAAATACAACCATCATAAATATAATTGAAAAGGTTACACCATAGTATATGTTTACATGTTCAAAATCAATTACATTATGATGACAAAATGTACTGTTTGACGATATAACGCCCCATCATCAAAATGATGTTGATTTACTGTTTCACTGATTTCCTGAGAATACAAGTAGTTTTTGAAAAATGTCAACAATTAAGTTGGTGAGTTCATAAGATTGGTGAGTTCATAAGGATTTTTATTTGAGAAAAGAAATTTTTTTCCTTTGTAAAAGAGAATGAGTATGATTCCAGAAAATCTAATATTTTCTTCATGAGATGTGAAATGAAAGTTTCTATGTTAGGAAATAATGTACTCTAGAAGATCCATAGATTCCTTCTATAATCACCCAGAGTGTATATAAGTTATTGAAATTAAAGTTAAATAAACGTCGGATATAATGGGTCTGCCCTAGGCCCCCACAACCAAACAAAGGAACAGGAAACATAAGGCGACCACCAATGCTAAGGGATTTGTGACTGGACTCTTATATAACTCCAACTTATACACTCAGCAATTCATACCCGGAACCTACAACTCTAGTTGAATTAGTCTTAGTATCCTAAGACTAGAACTGTATCCATGTTTTCTGCACTTATGAAAATATGCACAAGTTTAGGTTGTCATAAATACGATTTAGTGATAGAACACCGCGTAAATCTTATGTTTTGCGAATACCCTAAGTGGGTTATTATAACCATGCTATGACCTAGTTGGCCTGAAACGACGTTCTTCAGGCGTCGGAACTGATATGACATTTGTCACCTGTAGACCTCGAGGTCCTACTACAGCTAACAGCGAGGTGTGGGGTGTCAATCCTAATATAAGATCTATACACACTATCCACGCTCTCCCTCAAAGAGACTCTTGGTTACAATTACAGGACTTTTGATTCGTTACCTTGGAAGTAACGTGAAGCGGATGTCTCACAAAGTTATTCATTAACAGATTTACGTGTGGTGATCCGAAAACTCTTTTATGTAGAAATAAAACCTTTCGTAGGAAGTTTGCTCGTATAACATTAACTATCCTTGTATAGTTTATCAAATCGTTTGTAATGTAAATGAACATAAACTATGCCTATTATAGTTTATCAAAACGTTTGTAATGTATAGTTTTCTTGTAAAAGTAGTGTATGTTATGTAATTGAATCATAAACTATACATATTATAGTTTATCACATAGTGGTA